TAGTATATCTAGTATATATAGTATATATATATATTGCTGTTTGCTTTTCTTATGTGCTTTTTGCTTTTGTTTTTGTTGTTTGTTTTATTTCTCAGTTGTGGTCTATGAGAAGTTTAAGAGTCTACTACACTACAGTTCAAAGACATCAGTTCTACTTCTGTCATTCTTATTCACTGTCCAACTTTCAGATGTGTAGGAAGCAATTAAAAGAAATATTGCTCGAATTAGGTACCTGCTCCTTATTCTTTAATCTTACCTTCTTGCTCTTTAATATTTTGGAGAGGTCTTGGACAACAGATTTTTCCCAATGTGTCATTTTCTTGGCTGCTGTTACCATGGGTGTTGATTGTGGCTCCAAGTGTAATGATAATGTGACAACCTTAGCTGTCATGAGGTCATGTCCGGTGGTGAAGATTTTGGTTGTTTGATGTTTGAGATATAATCTGTATTGAAGTCTGTAGTCTTTGCTCTTCTGCAGCAAGTATTGATTTTTTTCCCCCACTTTCTGCAAGCGAAGTTGTATTATCTTTGCATAGTGAAGATTGTTCATGAATCTTTATCCAGTCTTGATGTACATTCTTCATATACTCCAGTGTTTTGAACTATATTACTCAGCATATAGATTGAACAGGCTATATTAAAATGGATACCGTGGTTAGCCTTAGTGTAAATTATGTAGTTTATTCAGCATCCAATATGACATATCTATATGTCAAGGAGACCATTTTCTGTCTTTTTTAAAAATGAAATCTCTATTTTCATTTCTAAAGGTGTAGGCTCATTTACCCACTGCTATAGGGACCACCTACATAGTATTAAAGGAGAGGAGAACTGGCCCTGAGGATTTCTGAGGCTCTGAATCTTTCTGGAAACAAACTGACTAATCTTTCTTCCATAGAGTTGTTATGGAAGAGAACCTTTGGGCTAGCAGTAAAATGCTTAAACCAGTCTGCCACCAGGGCTCCTGTACATGGCATAAGAGTTGAAAAAGCATTGCTTAAAACAAACACTACTTTGAAGAGCAAGCAGGGGCAGAGGGGCGGGAAGTGTATCTAGGACGCATAGCAGAAATCCTCTATTTACCTCCATCTCCAACTTTGCCCTGATGTCCAGGCCTTCGTATTTGCAGCCAACCCGTCCTTGTGGTTCTCCAGTGCCCTAAGGTTTGCTGTATCTGTAATCATGCCACAAAATTCAGGCCAGAGGGAAAGCTCATCATGCTGCTTTCTGTCTCACAGTGTTTCGTAAGCTTTTTTCCTCACACTTGAATGACTCAGGTACATTTTTTGGGCCAGATCATTTTAAATAGTTTTCTTTTCTGCCTTTATTTTCCCATGGAGTTCAGAAGCAGAGATAGCCATTGCATCCAAATCATCAAAATGCCTAAGAACACTGGTTGATGTCCAGTGAGAACCCTTGCTGTATCAATGATCCGAAATGGAATACAAACCAGAAAACCAAACCAGCCGCCATTGAGTTGATTCCCCTCATAGTGACCATGTAGGACATAGCCGGGCTACACCATGGGGTTACCAAAACTGCATGTCTCCGTGGAAGCTGATTACCGCATCTTTCTTCTGCACAGCAGTTGGTAATGTGAACGGCTGAACTTTTGGCCAGCATAATGCTTTAGTCACTGTGTCACCAGGACTGCTCAGCAGCGTGAACGTTTTTATAAATAACTGGAATGCCTTTAGATTTGAATGGTGTTGCTCACATTGATGGTGTAGTGGATTTTCAAGCACTGGGTTTTAAATTTTGATGTTTATATGTGTGGCTTGGAGAGCATTTAAAAAGGCTAGTTGTTATTCCATAGGATTTGATTGGGGCTTGAGAATTCTAAGCCGCTCCCAAGGTGATCTTGATGCTGCTAATCTGAGTTCACATTTACAGTAGGAAGATTTTAGGGAACATTTGAACTTTGGCCAATTTTGATTGTATTTTCCATCCTAGAGTTAAGCCTACCAGAGAATAATATGACCCAGTGATGCCCCATGAAGCACTTCAATAGGTGGTGGATGTTAGTTGCTGTCAAGTCAATTCCAGTTGCTAGGACATGTGCAAAGTAGACTTCCCAAGGGAAAAAAAAGTTGCAAAGTAGGGTCACACTTTACTTTGAACATCAGACCTATCTTAACGCCAAGTGAATTATTCCGGGCAGTCATCCTTCTTTTTGAAAGGAGGAGGTCTGTGCAGCCTCTCTCGTTCTTTCGTGCGGTGTGCTCTTGAGAGATGACACCATTCCTCATGAGGTGCTGTGGTCACAAGGGACACAAGTGTGAGAGAGGACCACTTTGAACAAAGCAGCCATCATCTTGCTTCTCCTTTTTCTAAACTGCTCTGGAAGCTCAAACCAGCTTTCTTCTCTTTCTTGAGCTGCCTTCCTTTAAAATCTGAAACCTGGTTATGAAAATAATTTTGAAAAATCTTTCTTTGCAGTCCTCTCTGCCTCAAATTCCTTGGCATGGCGGCTAAAGAGAATAATTTTCAAACCGGGAGATGGGTTGTGATTTTTTTGTACTACTTGACGTTAAATTATGAGCAAACTGCCTCTTCCTAAATTCAATCAAGTTACATCTAGTTCCTGGTTATTTAAGGATATAGTGACCTAGTTTTCCTTTACTTTTATTTTTGTATACTGAAATTCTATTTGGAATAATTTTTTGCCCAAGGTATAAATTATGTAATAAAATAGAAACACAAAAGAGAGTGTAAAACTATGCATTCATTTCAACTCTCACTTTTTTTTTAAAGGAACCACGGCATTTGCAGTTTTTCAGCGAATTTGGCAATAGTGATGTTTATGTGTCACTGGCAGGCAAAAAAAAACATGGAGCACCGACTAACTATGGATTCAGCTTTAAGGTACAGGCTTAATATTTTGATAGATGAGTAAAGCAAGCCTCAGCCTTTTAGGTAAGCTTGGGTTTCTTTTAATCTCTTTTTGAAAGAGACAGCTTCCTCTTATATATAGGAGAATTTTAGTGGCTTTTATTTCAACAGGTGTTACCTTCAAGATATGCATTAACGATAAACAATGTGCTGTGGCCTTCTAGCCTAACAAAGCAGGAGGGCCCCGAGACCTGAAAATGCTCTGTGCAGAAGAAGAGCAGAGTAGGACGTGCTGGGTGACTGCGATTAGATTGCTTAAGGTAATCTTGCCAGAGGCGCAAATTTCTATTAAATGCTGGGAGTAACCATAAAGGTTTGAACATATCTCTATTTCAAAACATGAAAACACACTGTGGATCTGTGTGGCTACCTGGGAGAGAAGAAAAATCACCACCACCAGGTGTGTGTGTGTTTTTTAAACTCTAAATGATAAACATTTCCAGAGTAGAGTAGGATAACCTAATGTGTTTATCTTGTGTGTGTGAGGTTGTAATAGGAGTAGTATATTTCTATAATGTTACGCTTTTGACTTTTGTAAGAGTATTAGATATATAGCCAAGATGGTTCACTGAAACGTGTGTACAGGACTTTTCTGCATTAGAATGTTGCCAGGTTTATTTTAGATGAGGTATATTTTAGATGTCCCCACCTGGAGATGTTTAATGCAATTGTTTTGTGTTTTTCTCTTGAGCATCTTCTAAAATACTTTTCACATTGAGCTATTATAAGTCAAATTATCATATATGGTTTATTATGGATATATTTTTTAAAACATGTATCTTTGTGCTATGTGGAAATTGCTTTGATAAACATAGCTTGCTGGTGAACATTTTGAAATGAATAAGAACACGTTCTAAAGGTAGATGTTATTGTCGTGTGCTGTCAAGTTGCCTGTGACTCATAGCAACCCTGTGTACACCAGCTCTGAAGCCTGCCTTGTCCTGAGCTGGTCTCATTGACTCCAATATACATACCTGCATTACCCCATTGCCCTAGTTACCGTATCAATCCATCTCATCTGGGGTCTTCCTCTTCTGCACTGTCCCTCTACCCTTCTGAGCATAATGTCCTTCTCAAAGGATCAGCCCTTCCCAACCACATGTCCCAAGTATGTGAGACAGAGCTTCGAAATCCTAGCTTCCAAGGAGAAACTTGATTTCACCCTCTCTAAGACAGACTTACATGTTTTCTTGGCAGTCCATGATATGTTTAAGACTCTTCTCCAGCACCACAACTCAAATGCATCAATTCTTCCTCTATCTTCATTAGTTATTATCCAGCTCTCTGAATTGTGAAGATCATGCACTGAATCAGGCACACGTTAATCTCTAGACTGACATCGTTGCTTCTCTGTACCCTGGAAATAAAGGAATAAATTTAGAGGCTCTTTTAAATCAGTTAGTTCTTGGGGTAGTAACGAGGCAATATGATCTATACGTTGGAATCACCTTGAGAAGCTTTTTGGAGGAACATATGTTCCGCCCCAACCTTGGGGATTCTTACTTAAGTGAATCAATAGTCTTGTCATATAGCATCATGTCGAGACATTGCTAGTTCTTTTTGAAGAAATGCCAGTTACTTCAGTGGTTGTTGTTAGGTGTCACTGAGTTGTCTGCAACTCATAGCCATCTTATGTGTAACACAATGAAATGTTGCCCAGTCATGCCTCAACCTCACAATCGTTTGAGTCTGTTGTTGCAACCCTGTACAAGTCTAGCTCATCGAGGGTCTCCCCCACCCCTTTTTTATGACATTCTGCTTTATCAAGCATGGTGACTTTCTTCAGCGATTAATCTCTCCTGATAGCATGTCCAAAATAAGCAAGATTAACTATAGACTCAGAGGTCATTCAAGATATAGTAAAAGGAAACCTATATGTAATATCGAAATTATAGATTATCCTTTTCCCTTCAATTAAGACTTTTCTATCCTGTTTTAGTTCTTGATCTGCCCTAAGTAGGACAGGGAGATGGTTAAGTTACCTTATGCCCTAGCCCTTGCCAAAATTAAATACACACTAAAGACCTCCAGAGGCCTAGAGGCAGCAACCTAGGACAATATGTTGTTGTTGTTGTTTAATGCCGTCGAGTCGTAGACGACTAGGACAATATACTTTTGAATAAAGTGGTGGTGGCAAACAGATAAATAAAAGATGGCCAAGGAACATGCATGTACCTGTAAAATTGTTAGGTTTAGGTTATTACATTATTGTTGTTGTTGTTGTTATGTGCCGTCGAGTCGTTTGCGACTCATAACGACCATATGTACAACAGCCCTAAACCGTGCTCTGTCCTGTGCCAATCTCATTGCCTCTGACACATCCATCCCAATTACCCGTCACTGAATCAATCCACCTCATAGAGGGTCCTGCCCTCCTGTACCGTCTCTCCACTCTACCCAGCATAATGTCCCTCTCTACAGACCTGTCTCTCCTTACAACATGTCCAAAGTATGTCAGACGAAGCCCCAGAATCCTTGCCTCCAAGGAGCAGCCTGGTTTAACCCTCTCTAGGATGAATCTGTTTGTTTTCTTGGCAGTCCATGGTACATTCAATACTCTTCTCCAGCACCACAGCTCAAAGGCGTCAATTCTCCTGTCCTCCCTAGTCATGGTCCAACTCTCTGATGCATAACAAGTGATTGCAAAAACTATGGCCTGTATCAGGTGTACCTTAGTCTCCAGAGAGACACTGTTGCTCTTAGTTCCCAAAATATATTTTACTAAAAATGATGTTACTCTGCCTTCCTTTTAAGCATATTATGTAATTGAAATTGTATTGAGTAAATTTCATTAGGTGCTTAAAGAAAAATTAAGTTAGAAAATAATATTGAAAATGAGAAATAACTGAATGAAAGCAACCCAAGATACAGGATTGCATACTTGTTAAATGCAAGATCTTGAAAACAATAGCTATTCCGCAGTGTTGCCTAATTGCAAAATACATTCACTTGCCTAAAATTGCCGTTAATGAAGTGATTTTTAGTGGAGGAACAGCTGTGTTGGAGTGGTCTAGGTGAATTCTTCCTAAAGGTAAGATCTGTCCATGCTCTCTCTTTGATCTTATTTCTGTATGACCTGCTTTTAAATTGATTATAGCTCCATGAACAAGAGGATTGTGAAGGATAAGAGAAGTTTGTTCCTTTATGTGTGTGTGTAATTGTGTTTGTACTCTATCAAAATATCTCCAGCCTAAGCGGGATATCATCAGATTCATGCAGAAATCCCTCCAGGACATGTTTGGCCATGGAAATTGGAATTTTTCGTGTTTCTTCGATTAATAAAGTAATTCTAGTCCAGGTGCACGTTCCAGTTGTTGCTTGGGAGTCCAATCCATGTGCTGTTACTTCCTGGACACAAAGAGGCTTTCATACTCAACCTATTTTTAATTACATTGGGGAATTATTTATTTAGTTGGTTAGTTTTGGTCTCCCTTTGTCTAAAATCAGCCTGATTTGACTTTACCACCCTTTTGGTGTCCCAGAAATCCAAAGCAAAATTTAAACAATGTGATAGAAATATTGATCTCAGAGAATCATATAGTGCAGGGAATCCTCAACCTAAGTATCCAGTTTGAGATTTATCAAAGAGGCAGTGGAATTGTTGATCCATTCAGAGATCTCGGGTGGACTTCCCCAGTGTTGCTTAAGGGGGTGTGTGTGATATTCCAGTCCTCAAACCACCAGACATGGCACTCTTCACAAGCGAGCTTTCTTATCACGGGGCAGGGTGCCACATCAGGGCCTATAGTGTTATTTGATGTTAAGAATATCAATTTCAGAATGTAGGTAAAGGTAAGGTAGATCTTAAATTATGGGTCCAAGTGAAAATCTATCAAATGTATCAATGCTGCATAGTCAAAGTTTACCTTTCAAAATTTTTTTTATTATTATTAAATTTTATTAGTTTCAATGAACACTCACAGGGATTCTGGGCTTTCACTCCTTCATTGCCGCACCATTCTCTCCACCCTCCTCCCCAGTTTGTTCTTCTTCCCCGCCATCCAAATGTCTGTTTTAATTGTCCAATTGCCACAGTGCTTGTCAAAGCCAGTTCTGATTAATCTTCTTTGTCAGTGTGTCCTTTGCCATTCCCTATCACTCCTCCCTGAGAGAGACTTCACCCTGATTCATAAGGAAAAGGGGATGGTGTATTCTCTTAGCTACTTCCTGCTGAAAAGGGACGCTGTGGGTTTCAGGGTGAAGGTCTTCTCTCACTACTCTAAAGGGCCCCTTTGGCAGTAGGAAACACATAGACTATTATGGAGATGGATTTTGGAATTTAGATGCACTCTTATTGATTGTGCTTGGCCATACATGTTCATATCCTTGAAGATGTATCATGAGGGTGTTGCAACCTAGAAGACACAAATTTGACTAACAAGTTATAAGTACATGAGTCAAAAATTATGGAAAAGTAAAAGAAAAGATTCTTTCATTGTTTTACAAACCCTCCCCCACGTCCCCTCCACCATGTAACCCTTGCTCTAGACTCCTGTGATGACAGAAATACCTAGTCATAACCTTTCAAAATTTTGGTCATCTTTTTTTTAAAAAATTTTTTTTAAAAATTTTTTTAATTTAGTTTGTTTATTTTTCATTTCAATGAACATCTACAGAGAATTTTGGAATTCCATTCATTCATTGTTGCAAAAAAAATAAAAGGAAAACAAAACAAAAAAAATCAATTCAAAAAGAGGTTTGAGGCATTAAACAATGACTGATAACTGGTCATCAGATGAGTTGTGGGATGACAATAAAGTGTTAACTTGTGTCTATCAAAAAAAATTTTGGTCATCTTGTTTTTAGTAAGGAAAGCTTTCTTCATTTATGAAGCTTTTTTTTTTGGTGTTGATTCTGTCTTCTAATGTGTATGTTGATTTTCATAAATAATAAGTTAAAAACGGTGAAAATGTGTTTGCTTTGCAGTATGGCATGCAGCTGTACCAGAATTACATGCATCCATATCAAGGTAGAAGTGGCTGCAGTTCTCAGAGTATATCACCCATGGTGAGTGCCCAATTTTTTAACTTAGGCTTTATTTTCTTTTTGTTACTTAATTTTAGTGAAGTAAAGTAACTCTTCATCACTATCCCACTATACAGGTACTTTCAATTTTGCATTCTTTGATAAATATATTTTCATCCTATGTGTAAAGTCCTCGTGGTACACAGTATCCAAAAATTTAAAACAGATAATAATATGTTGAAGAAATTTTTAATATGTTTAAAACAAAATACTATGTGACCCATTCATTTGAAGATTGCATCATACATAATAAGATAATTTACAGTGTATTTTACTTGATATTTTAGGTCATGTTTCCTTAATTACTGATGTTGGTTGTGCATTTGTGTTTTTCTGAGATTTGTTTTTTCTTCATAATCTAGTCTATGTATAAGGGGCTCTGGTGGCTTAGTTATAAGAAATTGTGCTGCCAACCCAAAGGTATGCAGTTCAAACCTACCAGCTGCTCCATGGGAGAAAGATGGACAGTCTCCTCCCATGGGACTTACTGCCTCTGGAAACCTACTGGAGGGTCACTTATCAGTTGGTTCCAACTCAACAGTACTCAACAACAACAACAACAACAACAACAACAACAACAATTATACTTATGCCAGTGGTTTAGAATTATAAATGATGCACTGTATACATCTGTGCTCTTTCATATTCTGTCTTTCTAGCGATAAAACCACCTAAAACTTCAGACTTCTTAAAAAGTTGACTTTTTTTGCAGGAAAACCCTAAATAATAAATTGAAACATAGGCCACGCATTGTTATCTCTGACACTGCTTCTCAGATTGATAGTAAATGTAACTTGAATGTCTACTTGCAGACACGCACACATCTTTACTTCTTGGGGCATACTTTTAATTTTCTGTACATTAACACTAGAAATTTATGTCTGAATTTAAGGTTTATGCTTTGCTATTCCTCCCCCTCCCTTTCTTTGTAACTTAATATTGAGTATATTAAGAATTCATATGTAGATGTCAGGGTTACAAATCGGTTATCATGATTTTTTTTCAAATTGCATTTTCATCCTGGTTAAAAATGTAAAATATATTCTTCATGACCGTGACCATGGAAGGAACACTTCTGCTCCATGTGGTGCTCCATACTTAGTGCCAGGAGTGAGCCATGAAATCATGTTGATTACTCAGTGTGAGAAACTCTCTTTTAAAGAACTCCAATTCTGTAGCTATATTGCTTTAAGTCGTGGAAGAGTAACTTTTCGTCCTTGTCTCATATGATTTTTTAAGCCCTAAAATAAGCAACTAAAGAATAGAATGAATTTTGAAAGAGCTGTTGCCTTGAAGTGAGTGTTTTCTTTTATCCTTCTCTTTGAATCCACATAAATATAGAGAAGAGAGAACTCTGGTCATTTAGTCCTAATAAATCACACTGCCAACCTGAAGGGACATGGTTCGACTCCACTAGGTGCTTCATGGGAGAAAGCAGAGCAGGCTCCTCCTATGTGATTTACTATATCTGAAAACCAGCTGGAGGGTTGGCTATGCGTGAGCTCTGACACAATGATACATAAAACAACAACATACAAAAAAGAGTAATGAATTTTATTGTCTTAGTCCTTTCTTAACTCCTTCCATATTTCTTTTAGAGTCCAAAGCTACTAAAAAGAAATATTCTAATAGAAGCCAAACAGTAGGAGAAAATTATTATTTAATTTCCTTCTAATCATGGAAGACAAAGTATTTTCTATAATTCTCACTGATGTTAGCTTACAAGTCTGGTAGATTCTCGTCATTTGCCAGGAAAGGTGATCAGTGTGTAAATGGTAGTTTGGTTGCTGACTTGTTTGGCCTCCATGTATGTGAAGAGACATCAGGCAAATCTAGGTTGGACATTAATGTCCCATGGAAGCATCTAGAAGGATCAGGAAATTTCTTTCTGGAAAAGGTAGCCATTGCATACTGTATGGAGCCCAGTTCTACTCTCTCCCACGTAGGGACCCAGTAACTCCTGATTTTAAGGCATGGGCAGTCATTGGCCTGTGTGGTGAAGACTGTACTTTGGCAGTTCTCATGATCTGAGAGAGTAGCATCTGAAAATAGAATTCTAGTGAGGATAATGATCAATTTGAGAATTATTCTGTCTTTATTCTTGATTTCCCGAAATGGACAATAAGAAATTTAGGGAGGCAGTTTTGTTTCCTTTAATGTCCTGGGTTTTGTGCCAAGAACCATGTTCAGTGATGAAAACAAACAACTCAGTGTATTTTAGCTATATTTTAAAATGAACAATAATTCCTACTTAACTCTTCTATATATATATTTTTTGAGAATGAAAATGTAAAAAAAATATTTTCTTATACCATGATGCAAAAATTGTTCTATAGAGCACATGCTCGCTACTCCCATCAGCCTTTGAAATAGGAAACAGCAGCAAAATCGATGGAAGTCAAATGTGTGCATTCCTTCTTAAAGCAAAGTAGTGTTGTTAAAGAGGCATCCCTCTCTGTGGATCTGGTGGGATAAGGGAGATGGGGAACACATCTACTCGGATTCTTCTTATTTTTTTGTGCTAGGATGAACATTTCAAATGGCAGTTTGATTCTATGGTACATTAAAAAGTGAAGAATTGGCATATCTGTTCTTGTTGTTTTTATGTTCCGTCGAGTTCCTTGAAACTCATAGCAACCCTGTGTACAAGAGCCCTAAATTCTGCTCTGTATTGTGCCAGTTTCACTGTCTCTGACACCCCCACCCCGATTAACCCCAGACACTGAATCAATCCATAGAGGGTCTTCTCCTCTTGTGCTGCTCCTCCACCCTCCCAAGCATGACGTCGCTCTTCAAGAACTGGTCCCTCCTTGCAACATATCCAAAGTATATCAGACGAAGCCTCAGAATCCTTGCTTCCAAGGAGTAGTGTGGTTTAACCCTCTCCAGGATGAACCTGTTTTCTTAACAGTCCATGGTACATTTAATACTCTTCTCCAGCACCACAGCTAAAAGGCATCAATTCTCCTTCTATCCTCCCTAGTCATTGTCCAACTCTCTGAAGCATAACAAGTGATTGAAAAGACCATGGCCTGTATCAGACACATCTTAGTCTCCAGAGAGACACCATTACTCTTCAGTACTCTGGAGATGTCCCTAATAGCAGACTTTTCCATCACAATATGTCTTTTAATATCCTGGCTGCTGGTGCCAAGAGTGTTGATTGTGGAGCCAAGCAAACTAAAGCTGTGAACAATCTCAATCTCTTCACCATCCATTCTGGTGATGCCAACTGGTCCAGTGGTGAGAATCTTTGTCTTCTTGATACTGAGCCTCAGTCCATATTGAAGGCTGGAGACCTTGACCTTCTGCAGCAAGCGCTTCGGGTCCTCCTCAGTTTGAGCAAGCAGGGTTGTGTCATCTGCATAACGCAGATTGTTGATGGATCTTCCACCAATCCAGATGCCACACTTCTCCTCATAGAGCCCCAGCCTCCCAGATAATCTGTTCTGCGTATAGATTGAAAAGGTATGGAGACAGGATGCATCCCTGGCATACACTTTCCCAATTTTGAACCATGCAGTGTTCCCATTCTTCTTAGAGTCAGCCACAGTTTGTTATGATCCACACAGTCAAATACCTTTTTACCTTTTCAGAATCAATGAAGCACAGATAGACATTCCTCTGGTACTCCCTGCTTTTACCTAAGATCCATCTAACATCAGCTACAATATCCCTAGTACCGCGACCCCTTCTAAACCCAGCCTGCATTTCTGGCAGTTCTCTGCTGATGTACTGTTCCAGTTGTTTTTAGATAATCTTCAGCAGAATCTTGCTTGCATGTGAAAACAGTGATACTGTTCTATAATTTCCATACTCTGTTGGGTCACCTTTTTTTGGAATGGGAACAAATAGAGATCTCTTCCAGTCAGTTGGCCAAGTGGTTGTTCTCCAGATTTCTTGGCACAACTTGGTGAGCACATCCAGGGCATATCTGTTACTGAATTATAAACTATGTGTGACCTTGGCCAAGTCACTGGCATGCTCCAATATAAAAGATACACTTTTTATCTTCGCCTCGAGAAACTGAAGTTCTGTAAATCTGGATAAAGCAGATGAGAGAGCAAAATCTGAGGAAATTCTTTGCCCCTTCACTAAGCACCATTCTGGTAGCTTTCTTTAAATCTTTTAGTGAGGTGACAGAGAGCAAGTGGCTACTAACTGCCATTCAAGCAACACTACCTGAAACACATTTAAGTGCAGATCTCTCTAAGGTGACAGGATCCGATTCCAAAGTGTGGCCTACGTCATTTAGGGAATATTTTTCATTTCTAAAAAGTACCATAAAAATCATAGACCCTTTTATAGGGCTTGTTCTGCATCCCACTAGAAGAAAAGGCTAGAAAAAGCTACAGAACTAGGCCAATTCTGAATGTTTTCACCGTTGCTTTCCTATATAAAAGAAGTTAAGCTGAAAATGACCTTTTGAGTTCAACTTAGATGCTACTTCACTTCCATTTCTTTGTCCACCAAAGGTACATGATTAATTTTTCATCCCTCACCTGCCATTCAGTAAAAATTAAACAAAACCAAATCTTTGTAGCAAATAAAATGTTCCTTATTTATGTTGTAGTCACCCTACTTAAGTAATTGTGGAACAGGAGATACTCTTTCATTCCTTCCTGTGCTAAGGTAAGGGGGGGATCAGAATACTTGGTGGTGTTTATTGTTTTCATTCCTAACAGTATTTTTATGTTATCAGGAGCTTGCAATTATAGCGTCCATCTTGGCATGTGAAGGGAGAGATATTATGAGGATAAAGCTATCATTATGATTGGGGCTAGTTACTGGGCGATTTAGGCAGGTAGGAGCTTTTTATTAATGTCGGCAAAGCAAAAGTATATCCAAGTGGTCCACAGCCCTGCACAGAAGATCACGGGGTGAAAAGGGCAGACTAAGGTGTGACAGCAAATAGAGATTACAGAGACAGCATCTGTCTGCAAAGAGCAGCTGTCAGTTATAAAGGCTCCTGTAACAAATGAAAGATTCCTTGCCAGATCTCTAGAAATACAGATGAACCATAAAAATGTTGTGAACCACTACATCATGGTTTCAAGAAAAACTAACAAATGATAATAAAGAGAAATGTGCAGCGCAGTGATAAATGAACCTGGAATATTTTTGTGTGCATAAAATTTTGTCTCAAGCACACAATTGACTGTTAGACAAAGCTAGAAATGTCTGAACCTGGAAAGAAGTATATAGTATGGTCTTAACAAGCCATGCATCCCCAGATCCATTTTAGGTTCATGCTTTGCTATTAGAACAGTGTCCTTTATTTTATTCTGTTAATGAAAAGAGGTAGAGTAACTGGATTTTTCCACGTTACCATTGGAAGCATTTTGATTCTTCAAATTGTATAAAGTGAATTAGAATCTCAACTGAAATCTTTGATGATTGTTTTTAAAATGTATATGCTCTATTGTAGGGTTCCTAATTTTTGAAAGATGATTGAGACATAGAGCTCCAATCAGATAAGCAAAAAAATTGGAATAAAATAAAAATGCAGTGCCAGTTTTTAAATGTGAAAAAGAGATGACTTTATTGTTTGTTCAATATGTGGTTGTTTCAAGACTTTTTTTAATATGTTCTTTCGTCCTTAATATTTATTCTGGAACCTCTAATATTGGTATGTTCTCAGAAACTAAAAAATGTTTATATATTAATTCATAATAATTTTAATGTTTTTAAATTACTGAAATTTTACTGCATTTTATTTTCTTATTAGGGTAAAAATTTATGTGATAAAGTTCAAACTACATGCTCTCATTTGTTCCATTTAAGTCTGCATACATTTATTTCTAAAGAAATAGTGTAAGTTAATTTTCGTTGGTGCTAGTGTGCATTTTGAATTTTATTAAATAGCTGTCTTGTAAATAGATGGACTGGACATTGAAATAATAACTAATGAGTCTCGGAAATTGGGAAGGAATGAAATAATGGCTCTTCTTATATATATATCATATATATTCTTTCCTATTTCTCTAGAGAGTATGGTTAAAAGTGACATGGTTGTTAAAGTAGAAAGTTATTCTTATCTTAGAAGCTTTAATTATCTTTATTCAGAATGAATTAATTGCTTTAATAAATAACTGAAATTTATTTAATTAAAATGTTTTATAGACTTTTTTTTTTTATCTTGAATGTTTGGGTTTTGGGTTTTTCCCTCTAATATTTTATTGCTAACCACTGTCGGCACAACATTCTAGAATGGGAAGCTATTTCTAGCAAAACCCTGGAAGATAACTTTCAAATCTATTTTCATAGTCAAAAGAGTGGGATTTTTTTTTCTTTTCTGTTGTTTTCTTCTCAGAGAAGTATATCAGAGAACTCCCTCGTAGCAATGGACTTCTCAGGCCAGAAAAGCAGAGTTATAGAAAATCCCACAGAAGCCCTTTCTGTTGCTGTTGAAGAAGGACTTGCTTGGAGGGTACAAAATGGCTTTCCTTTCTTTGAAATAGATTTGTAAATGAAGTTTTTATACCCAAATTTGAAATGATTTTCCCCTTTCTTGCTCAGAAAAAAGGATGTTTACGATTGGGCATTCATGGTAGCCCCACTGCCTCTTCACAGAGTTCTGCCACAAACATAGGTATGTCTGTTTATGTTCACTGTAACTGGGTGGCTGTCTAGAAATGTATTTAAATAAAGTCACTGGGTGTGGTGAACCTTACATGCAAATAAGTTGTGATTATTTAAAATAAACCCTGTATTTATCCACTTTATTTCTTCAGCTATCCATCGATCACAGCCATGGTTTCACCACAAAATTTCTAGAGATGAAGCTCAACGACTGATTATTCAGCAAGGTCTTGTAGATGGGTAAGTTTGATCTCTTCGGATTTCATTGGAAACGATATTTCTCCTATAGGTAGTATTGTTTGTCCCTCACAACGTATGTTTGAGGTTGGCCTATCATAGGACAGAAGTTATTTTGTCCTTGAAGGATGGTTAGTTACTTTTGTATCCTAATAATTTCACTCACTGCCTTGAGGAGGATAGTGACTTTCTAGTGAGTTTCGGAGTCCTTAAATCTTGGGCAGTCTCCTCCTGTGCAGTTAACTGCCTCTGAAAACCCACCTGTGGGTCAGCTATGGGAGGGTTACATCTTGAACTGTGTATGACAGTATACAACAACAACAACAAATCTTCGTGAGGACTGTTCATCTTTTTCCTGTTGAATGGGAACTGCCAGAAAAGTGTAGCCTTTTGGTTAACAGCAGTCTGTTGCATATGATACCACTAGAGTTCCAAGTAATAGCTGCCTCATATACCAAGTAATTCCTCATATTGTGGGGTACTATTGAGTCAGAACTGACCCATAGCTGACACTCGGGCAGGTTTTCAGAGGCCGTTAATCACTTTCTAGTAATCTATACCCGCCCATACTCACTTAATACCTAGTTTATGCTGAGTATATTTATTGTAGAAATAGATAACTGCATAGGATACTTGGCTCTTAACCAGTGATCACAGATATTACACATTTTGTAATCCCAGTATCTCAGATATCATTAATTAATGGGAAAAGAACTTGCTTTTTGAGTATATGCTAAGTTGGTGGTAGATATTGGGGAATATTTTCAATTTAAACTTAATATGCTGCTTAAGTGTGACTTATCTTATGTTATTTTTCCAGACCATATTTTAAAGTATATTGCTAATTGTTTCTTACATAGTTCAATTATTTTAAAACTCTTTTCTTTCTCTCTTATAAATTTCAACACCTTAAAGTCATGTAAATCTATGCGGTGTATTCTTGACAGTTTCTCATTTTATCTTTTCTTTCCCCACTGGATGTTACGGAAGATGAAGAAGAAATATAAAGTGCATTATAAAATATTATAATACAAAGAATTTCATTTTTCTTAAGTTGCTTAGAGTAGAATATACTTTTCATAATATTGGCTAAAGTTCCTTCTAAACGTTAGTGAACATTGTGAGAATTTTGTTGAGATATGAATGAGAAAGGAAACCAGCATCACTTAAATACGTGGTAGAATCTTTTCTGTTTAAGGGCTGGCTTGAGATGATATACAAGATTTCAAGGTGATTTAATTCTGTCATTTGGATAAAAACACATTTTCATAGGAAATTACTAATATCAGTTTGGCATTTTGCCACATGCTTAAGAAGATTTTAATATATTGCCTTATATGGAATACAGACATTTTAGATATCAATTTGAACAATGTACAGAATTACAATCTAATGAAACCAAGAAAAGAATAAATCAGAAAAGAATGCTAAAATATTTTTTAAAATCTTAATTTCCTTTAATTTTGTGCCAACTGTTATTAATAGTGTGGAATAAATCTGTGAAGAATGAGAATATCCTTTTTGTGTTTGTGTGTGTTCTTTTGGAAAGACCGGCTGGTGACAAGCAGTCCACTAGGTGGCAGTGGTGATCTACTTGGAAAAGAGAGACTTGCAGCTTGATTTATCAGTGAAACTCCCTTTTGTCCCATCTTCCCAGTGATGTAATGTCGGAATCTCATGCAGCACAATTGAAATGGATAATCTCAGCGGACATCTGTGATGGCTCAAATTTAGCTGCTTCTGGCCAGGCACAGTGAGATTAGTATTGGAATCACCGGTTGGGACTATTCACACAGTCTGTTCGCCAACAATTAATGCGAAACTAGTTTTGCCCTATATTACCAGTAAATAGGAATCCATGCCTGGCAGCATTTTCTTTTAGGCCATTAGGCCATGTCTTGTTTTCTAGCTTGACATTATAAAGGCCTTTCCGCCTCATTCTTCAGGGTTAAAGTACATGTGGTTTGAGGTTTATTGTTGCTGTTGTTTTGGGTGGTTTTTGTTGTTTTTTTTCCTTATTAAGACATTTTGCTTAATCATTTAATAAATGATCACAGGATGGATTTTTTTTTAAAGAACATATCCTTCTCTCACTACACCTACTGTCTTCTATGTATTTAACAGTTGGAACTAGAGTTTAAATAAAGAAAGGAGATCCAGGGTACAAGAGTAGAAGAGGGAGTAAAAAAAAAAAATTATTCTTTTAAATAAATGAATTTTGGTTTTAAAGCCTCAAATGACAGAGAAATTAATCATACGCTAATGTCTCATTCTCTGTGTGAGAGACAGTTACCCATGAATACCCAATTTCCCAGAGAAAAGAGAGAGAGCACTAATTGTTGATGCCAGCATAACATTATATTGATTATTGTGCGCAAACAGTCTGACAAATGGGACATATATTAAGCCTATTAAAATGACATTAGTGCCAACGATAGTTTTATAGTTACGATACAGTATAGTTTATACTGTATCAATTACTGTGTTAGATAATCCCAGCCAGTGAATCACAAGGGGAATCCCAGGTTACAGAATTTCTGGATATACTTCTTGCGTTTGTCACTTGCTATTCTTCTTTGAGATCCATGAGTAAACATAAAAACATTGAAATTCCTTCTCTCTTTGTAGAGTTTTCTTGGTACGAGATAGTCAAAGTAATCCCAAAACTTTTGTACTGTCAATGAGTCATGGACAAAAAATAAAGCACTTTCAGATTATACCAGTAAGTAATTTGTGATTTCGCATTCCTATATTAGAAATGATGTTAATATATAAGCTTTGGGGGAACTTTGGTTCTCTTTTGCTCTTTTATTAGATATCATTTGGGAGCTTGTGCTTTGACTGGAGTTAAATTTGGCAGAAATCATTTTATGAGCCTGAATTAATATAAGAGATACAGGAATTGTAAAAATTAAATTTTCCTTTTTCCACAAAATAGATTTAGCAATATTGTGTAGACCTCATGCCACCTGTTATTAAAAGGCCACTCCAGATTATTTCTCTTGAATTCTACTAATGCTTTTTAAAAAAACCAATTTGTTAGAGTTCTATCTCCTTTCAAGAGTATTGTTTAGTTTTGTTAATAGTTATAGATAAAAAGATAAGGCTTGTGTAGTATTGAAATTTTAGAAAAGTATCACAAAAGAGGAGTATAATACAGGTTTTCCTTTTTGATTTGCCTATTTTTGAGACTATCCAAAAATTATATAAATGATTCTCTCTGCTTCTTTGATTATGTGATCAACACTTGTAATAAGTATGACTTTTAATGCTAGAAGCCTTCATTGTAAAAAAAGAAAAAAGATGAAGTCTGATTGACATTCCATTAGCATAATATTTGATTGCTTCAGAATCAATTTAGTGACCCAAATTATGTGAGTATTCCTTTTTAATATACTAAGGGAGGCTGTTAAGTAGACATAATATTTAGAAACAGAAATTACTTTATGTAAATGGGAGCATTAGAGCCTGTTTACTTTTACACAGTATATTTCCCATTTCTCACTGTTCATTGATTTAATATAGTCAACACTGGGAGAATTAAAAGTGGGGGAGAGGGAAATAAAGCTACCCTGTGTAAGATGATGTGTCTTTTAAATGATAATTAAAAAAAATAAGTCAACATTTTCTCATTATTTTTAGAATTATAAATGTATGTATCTGGATACAGAAAGCCACAGTCTGGGACAGATGATAGCCGTCCTTCTGGATGATTGATTTATTCTTTTCAGTAGTTTCCTTTTCTTCTTGCAGGTAGAAGATGATGGTGAGATGTTTCATACCCTGGATGACGGTCACACACGGTTTACAGATCTAATCCAACTAGTGGAGTTTTATCAGCTCAATAAGGGTGTACTTCCTTGCAAGTTAAAGCATTATTGTGCGAGGATTGCTCTTTAGCCAAATCAGAAGTGACTTGTTAAACTACTGAAGAAAAAGAACTCTAGGATAAACAAGCAAACCCACAAATAAAAGGATGAAAATGTTGCCATGGTGAAAGGATTGTGTTTTACCTGCAAGTTACAAAGAAAAAAAAATTAGTTGTGCATTGCAAATAAGCGAAGACTTGGATTGATGTGACATTCATCATTTAAATTAATTAATTTGAATTAAACTCCAGGAAAAATTAATTTGTTGTGCTCTTGTGTGATTTTTCTATTACTGTAATAATGCCAACTCTATGAACCTTGAGAAAAGACGAAAGTTATAGAAAGGCTTCAGGTCTTTTGTTCATAGGGTTACTATGCGCTGTGCTCAACTCGAAAGCAATCAACAACAACAACCACCCTTGAAGTCACTGGTGGCATCGTCTCTGGGGAGTTTTTGCCAACTCCAAGGCAACGCCCCTCTGGCAGTTCGATTCCACCAGCCGCTCCATGGGTGAAGGATGAGTGATGTTCTCCCTTGTGCTGTTCAACATCTGAAAACCAGCTGGAGGGTCAGGGTCAGCTCTGCGTCAGTTCTTGATAGTGAGGGAGTGCCTACCTACGCTTACTTCAGGAGCTCCGGTGCCATAGTGTGTAGGGTATTGAGCTGCTAACCAAAATCTCACTGACAAGATAGGAAACCATTTATAATTTATAGTAGATCATTTGTATTCACATTACTAGTTTTTAGAACTTGAAACATGATAAAACTTGAGCTTTCAATTAAGAGACATTCCCTGTAACTTGCTAACAACATAGAAAATGAATTTGTACTAGCTTTTTCCATGTGTATTATTTTATGTTTATCATAACAAAACATATTTTGGAGAAGTGTCTTAAATTTAATTTGGAATATATTTACTTCTTCTGAATGACTTTTATTACTATTGAAATATCAATTATGCTATAAACTTTAGGCTATAAATTTAATGATATACTGCTAAGTATGCACACTGTTCAGGTTTTTTGTTCATGTAATGATTTACTGGAACTCACTACTTTTCTGGAAATGACTAAAGGGAAAAATAAGTTTCCCATATCTTCTTATGACATAGAATATGTCACAATGTGACATTATCACCTTAATATCTATCTCATATTTCCCTTATGCTCTAACTTTCAAAGGACTTTTTAGATCCTTCACTACTGGATTATTAACCTAATCGAAAGGGAAGGAATTAAAGATTCAGATTCTCTAAGGATCTTGTGTAGGTAAATCCTTTGCTCTTTGTGTAGAGCACCTTTTCAGTTTTCAGCAAAGTCAGTAGGGAAGTCATTAATTTTTGAAATTTAAAGGCACCATGCCCCTCTTCTGAGAACATGAGGCAATCTAAGATAGTTTAAATGTGATGCTACACATTTTCCCCTGTTGTATGTCTGTGTGTTTTTGTCAAAGACATTACATAAACATTAATATGATACAAGATGGTATCTACTTTTGATTGACTCTTGATATTTGTGGGAAACTCAGAAAGATATTTTAAATAATTTAAATTACATACTTTAAAAGTTTTATACTTAGCAAAGCATCTGAAAGCATTAATGAAATCCTAATAAGATTAACCACCACTGCAAAAAGACTTATTAGCTGACTTTTTAAAAGTACCAATTTCATTTTAGCCAATGCAAAGCTACCTTCTAAAACATCCTGCCTTATAATCCTGTTATTATAAAATACCCAATTGAGTTCCACAGAAGCTTGGAAAACAGTCTTTAAATGAAGCACAGAGGATAAACATACACCTTTCCACTATAAAGAATGACCTGGAGTAGTTCCAATTTGTAAAAATAGCTCTGTGTTTTGACTTAGAACACATTTTCTTATTTTCCACTTAGTGCAAATTGGCAAGATCAGAAAATAATATTTTAATTACCTGTCCAATTTATGACTTTGAGTCCAATTTATGCTTATGTCTTTTGCTTGTGTCTATAACTTTATTAATAATCAAAAGATATTGTAATATCCAGATTTTATGTATAATTTCTTACTTTGATCTCAAAAGATATCATCTAAAAAAGTTATAAGAAAAAGTTGACAAAAGGAAACCCTTATTTCCCTGATTTCTTTCCATAAAAGTACTTGCTCCCATGTGCTTGCATGTGTATGTACTTTATTCTAGTATGCAACAAAATCTTAGAAATATTCACCCATTTTACAGTATTATAAAGATGGCCCTTTGTATGCAAAAGTAGGCTGGGCCCTGACTAAGTCTCCAGTTTGGAGGTTCCTGTGTGAAGCAGCTGGATTCTTGAGGGTAGGTTGTTTTTGGAGTAAATTGTGCTTGGGGAGAACATTGTTTTAAGTGGTACAACACTTATCTTTTGTTTTCTGTACTGATATAACTTGGAGTGGCTGTGATACTGAATGCTGTGCCACTGGTGTGTCAAATGCCATAAAAGTAACCCATGATAGACAGGGTTTGGTAGAGCTCACAGATTAATATAGTCTTGGAAGCAGTATTTGGTATCCAATTCTTAAATTACAGTTCTTTTAAAACCCTAGTGCACTAGAGGAATGATGACCATTATAGAACAAGGTTCAGATCTTTTGTTCATAAGGTTGCTATGAGTTGTACTCGACTTCACGGCACCTAATAACGACACAGTATCATAATCCATTTCATCTAGGGTCTTCCTCGCCTGTGCTGTCCCTCCACCCTTCCAACCATGATGTCCTTCTCCAAAGACTGGCCCCTCTTGGCAACATGCCCCAAGTATGTGAGATGGAGCTCCAAAATCCTTGCATCCAAGAACCAGCTTGATTTCACCCTCCCCAGGACACACGTGTTTGTTCCTTTAGCCGTCCATGGTTTGTTCAGTACTCTTCTGCAGCACCACAACCCAAAGGCATTGATTCTTCTTTTGTCATCCTTAGTTATTGTGCAGTTCTCTGATGTATAGCAAGTAATTGTGAAGACTATGGCTTCGATCAGGTGCCTCTCAGTCTCTATACTGACATTATTACTCTTCAGTACTCTGAAGAGACCCCAGACAGCAGGCTTTCCCAGTGCAATTTTTCTTTTGATTTCCTGGCTGCTGGTACCAAGAATATTGATCGTGGAACCAAGAAAGCTGTTATTGTTAACAATCTCTGTTTCATTTCCACTTATCGTAGTGTTGCCAATTGGCCCAGTGATGAGAATATTTGTTTTCTTGATGTTGAGTTTCAATCCATATTGAAGACTACAGTCCTTGACCTTCTACAGCAAACACCTCAGGTCCTTCTCAGTTTCAGCAAGCAAGGTAGTGTCATCAGCATACCTTTGGTTTGACAGACAATGAAATTGGCTCAAGATAGGACAGAGTTCAGATCTATTGTGCATAAGGTCACTATGAATAGCAGGGACTCAAGGGCCCATAAGAACTAGTAGTATAATGTGTCCTCCAAATAAATGTAAATTGACTTTGGATTTTTTTTTTTTTACTTTTACATTTGTAGTCAAATTCTTCTAGCTTTTACAATTTTGGATTCAGAAGTCATATGTTTCACATCTATTTTCTTCCTTTTCTGTTGAAATTTTGAAGTTGTTCTTTCTGCTTCAGTTCCCTAGAAATATGCCAATCCAGAAATTATTTGGTCCATATTGTGGCATTTTTTCTCTCTCTCCTTAGATTGAGGGATTTGATAATTACCTTGAAACATCTAGGAGACATAATCAAACCAAAGTTCTAAAGAGTGGCTCAATTTAGCATAACGTGTCTCAAGCATGTCCTTAAGGAAACTCTTACGGGTTTGAGTATTTTAACTCTCTATAGGGTGGGGCTACATCAGTCGACCAGAATCATTGTCTTTCTGAACACCAAATGTGCCAATTAGACACAGAGAATTGCCGTTCTGTTTGACGGCCGCTCCTCTGTAGAGCACAAATTGTCTTTGACGATTGCTCCAACTTGGCATGCAAAGCTGGCTTCACTGTTGAGAAAGGTCTCTCTGTCGCAGACACTCTTCAGCTTTTCTGTATGTCGGTTATGTTTAGTGGTCTGGTGAAAATTAAGGATCCCCGTCTTTAGGTACATAAAAGAAATTTATACTTTTCTGTGTGTTGGGTGCTTTTAGTAGCCTGGTGAAACTTATGGATCCCTGTCTTTAGAAACATAAAAGAATTTTATATATTTAGGAATTTTAAAGAAATCAATTTATATAGAAACATAATTCTATAAAATTGTTTTGAGTGTTAGAGCTTGGATCTACCATCTTTCTGGTTGTGTTGTCACTTAAATTTTCTGGTATTGTATTCTTTAAAGGACAGAGTGGGTGATTATCAGCCAGTGTTAGCCATACTTCCAGGGGGGCATAGACTCAGTGGTTTGAGGTACAGGATTTTCTTCATATGTGATTAATATTCACTCATTGAAATTTCCATGTCTGTTTCTTGCCAATTCTGGACCCCTATTTTTAACACTTGTGACTTTTGGGAAGATTATTTATTGCACCACAGCTTGTCTGGGCGCATATCAGTGAACACCCAAAGATTCAGTGTAGAGATTTCCCAATTTGAGCAAAGCTTTCAAGTTCATTTCTAACCATAATACTGTTACTGCAATTGAGAGAGTTTATAATATTAGTCCTTTGTAGTGCCAATTTTCTTTGTGAAAATAATTCATAACTCTTTACTATGATTATATGCAATAAGGAAAATTTACAATCTCAGTTAAGATGACAACACTTGAGTAGTACTTTTTGAATTTGAATCCAGTCCGTTATGCAGAAAGTTTATGTTGTTGTGTGTCGTCAAGTTGGAACTGACCCACTGGGTTTTCAGAGGTAGTAAATTGTGTGGGAGAAGGTTGGCCATCCTTATCCCATAGAACAGCTGGTGGATTCAGATCATGTGCCCTTGGCAGTGCAGTAAGGCTTCTTAACACTTTTCTTATTTTTTCATACCATAAAGTTGGAACTGACCCATAGATGACCCTCGAGCAGGCCTTTAGAGGCAGCAAAGCCAATGAGAATAAATTTCCCATATTCTGCAG